AAGTATACCCAGGCATCTTTTGAATTCTTTCCTGAAACATGTATTTTGAAAGTTTCCATATATAGAAATCCCACTACGTAATAGTTTTATGTGGTTTAAAGCATAATTATCATTAATTTTTTGACAATTTGTAATTTAATTGAAATCAAATTACATTTAGGAAGTTCCCCATTCAGGACTTTTCTATGCCCCCACTTGTCTGCTTTATCTCTTCCAGAACTCCCTTTATTTCAGTCTCTGAGGCCACCTCTCTACTTAATAGGACAAAAATGAAAATCCTGGGTGATACACTGAGTTCTTTGGGAAAATAGAAGTCTCTGGCTGTTTTAAAGTGGCAAGGTGAGGGAATTCCCTGGCGATTCAGGGGTTAGGACTTGGTGCTCTCACTGCCAGGGGCATGGATTTGATCCCTGGTCGGAGACTAAGATCCTGCAAGCCGTGTGGTATGGCCAAAAAAAGAAAAAAAAGAAAGTGGCAAGGTGAGAGAGATACAGGAAGGGGACAAATACGCTTCAGGCTAGCAGCCTAAATTCAAGAAACCCATATAGAGCTTCTCTGTTTCTTATTTCAGTATTTAATTTCAAGGGATTACATTGTTTATACTTCCTAATTAGGTCTACTGGCCTTCACCATTGTTCTCTTGTCTCTCATCAAAAATTATTTGTTTCAGGAGCTGTGCAAGATGCAGTTACACAAGGGCTTTAGAACATTCTATAAATTGGATTCTGTATATTTGTAAATTATGCTGATAGGCACTTCTGTAGCACAATGAGGTCAAGACAGTCTCACTGAAAATGGCCTTTTCATGCTGGCTCGAGCCAAAAAAAAGGGAAAGCATCATAAAGGTACCGTGCTATGTTTGCAGAAGAATGCTGGTCAATTCAATCCAAGACAGTGGTTACAGACTTCCCTGGTGGCGCAGTGGTTAAGAATCCGCCTGCCAATGCAGGGGACATGGGTTCGAGCCCTGGCCTGGGAAGATCCCACATGCTGTATAGCAACTAAGCGTGTGCACCACAACTACTGAGCCTGCGCTCTAGAGCCCGTGCTCTGCAACAAAAGAAGCCACCGCAATGAGAAGCCCGTGGCGCACAGCAATGAAGAGTAGTCCCCATTCGCCGTGACTAGAGAAAGCCCGTGCGCAGCAACGAAGACCCAACGCAGCCAAAAATAAATAAATAAATTAATTAATTTTAAAAAAAGTGGTTATTTGTCAGCCAACCTTAAAGAGACTAAATGAAATTCTCAAAATATATAGCAATAGGATATTAAAGATATGTTTATGAAAAACATATTGTATGAAAATATACTATGTTGCATGCTATAAAGTGCAAGAGAATTATTAAGACACAGTTCATGATTTTAGAGAGTTTGCAATTTAAAAGAGAGACTAAAATATGCATGCAATTAATTAAATGGAAGAAAACAAAACATAAATGACACATGTCAGAGGCAAAGTTTAGCCTGAAAGAACATAGCTGGATTGAATTGAGCTACTAAAATTTAATTAATTCATTTAACTGCTATTTATTGAGTACCTACTATGTGCCAGGTCATGAGACATAACCCTTTCTACCAAAGGATACTGATATCTGGAAACTAAATTCTTGACTAATTTTCAGGATACAGGATAAAAAATGGAAGTAGCTCCAGCTTGAGTTTGAAAATACTGAATCAAAATCTGGCCCAATCCATTATTCATTGGGGGACTTGGGCAAATAATTTATAATCGTTTAGCTTCATTGTAGAAGTCAGAGGGTCATCTTTGATTGCCTCTTCTAATTTCATCCTACATAAAGGTAATCAACAAATGAGTCTTTAAATGTTCCTTGAATATTTCCCATCCTCTCCATCCTTTTATCTCCAGTCCAAAGGCTGGCCCTCATGATTTGCTTGTGGATTCTGTACCCTAAATTAGTTTTGCTCTCCCTGTATCATTCTTTTTCAATCTATTATGCATGTTGTAACCAAAGCAATCTTTCTAAAACTTTTACCTGACCATAACACTCCTCTGCTCAAAACTCTTTAGTCACTTCTCATCACCCAGAAGATGCAAGCCTGTGTCTCTTAGCAAGTAAGACCTTTAATGAGCTGAACTCTGCTTACATTTTTAACCACACACGCCAATCTTCCTCCATATCCACCCTACGTTTCTCTAATCACCAGGCTGTTTTGTGCCTCTGTGCCTTTGCATATGCTACTTTTTTTTTTTTTTTTTTTTTTTGCGGTACGCGGGCCTCTCACTGTTGTGGCCCCTCCCGTCGCGGAGCACAGGCTCTGGACGCGCAGGCTCAGCGGCCATGGCTCACGGGCCCAGCCGCTCCGCGGCATGTGGGATCTTCCCTGACCGGGGCACGAACCCGTGTCCCCTGCACCGGCAGGCGAACTCTCAACCACTGCGCCACCAGGGAAGCCCAGCATATGCTATTTTTTTTAATGCCGAAGCCTGCAACGTTATCCCCATCCTCACTCCACCAATGCTATCTGGAAAACTTTAAAATTTTACTCTTCCTTTGACAGTTTGCTCAAACACAGTCTCCTTCATGGAGCGTTCCTTGATTATTCGGGCACAGGTCATTTTTTCATCCTTCGGTATGCACACAGCATGTTTTATATATCTATGTTAGCACCATGCATTGTAACGTCATTATTCGTGTATATGCCAATTGCCTCAAAAAGACTGAACACCTGAGAACAAAGACAAGGCCCTTCACCTTTGAATCGTCACTCCTAACGTAATGTCTGCCATGGAGAGCCTGTGCAATAAATATTTATTTTAGTAATGAAGTCAGGTTTGGGCATAAATGGAAAGAACGAAGAAATGCTTTGTGGAGGAGACGGTATTTAAGGTAGGCCTTGAAAAACTTCTGAAATGTTTCCTGGATTTTAAAAATGTAATTTGGGGATGTCCAGTGTTTTGATATACGTATATACATAAATGTATATATCTTCATGCTCTTCCCTTTACTGCTTAACTATTTTGCCAGCAAAGCTTTGTCTTTTCCATTCAAGGCTCTAGATGCAGTGCTCTGAGTATGGTGAAGGCTTAATAAGTAGGTTAATAGTCTGATGTAAAGAAGCATCTTCCTCAGTTCTCTTAGAATAAGGTACTGTTCTGATTCTCCAGTGCTATGTGTGGTGTCAAAAATGCCTGACTTTTTAGCTGAGTCATAGATGGCTGTGTACCATACCTAATAGCAAATAAAAATGTTGATATTCACTCTATATATTTAATTTCTCCTGAACATATTAAAAATATATATAAGTGAGTATGCTTTTGATCCACAACAGAAAATACGTGAGAACCCTGGGCACCTCACTGCTATTCAGTTTAGCTCTCCCTGGGCAGATCACCTGAGTCTGATTGTAAACGTATTAACTTGGGCATCTTTTCAACCCAAATCATGTCTATTTCAGGTTATCAGTGATGGTTATGCTCTTAGGTATTCTGGCAGAATAATAATCTGAATTATTAAATAGAATTAACAGTACTTTTGGGGATATTCCATTCTTAACTAGTGCATGTTTCTACTTAAGTAGTTCATTTAAAATACAGATGAAAAAACACTGGGACTTCCCTGGTGGTGCAGTGGTTAAGAATCCGCTTGCCAATGCAGGGGACACGGGTTTGAGCCCTAGGCCGGGAAGATCCCACATGCCGCGGAGCAGCTAAGCCCATGCACCACAACTACTGATCCTGCGCTCTAGGGTGTGCGCCTAGAGCCTGTGCTCCAAAACCTACAACGAAGAGTAGCCCCTGCTCGCCACAACTAGAGAAAGCCTGCGCACAGCAATGAAGACCCAATGCAGCCAAGATAAATAAATTTATCAAAAAGAAAGAAAGAAAGAAAAAACACTGACACCAATAAAGATATTATGAATTACAGAAATCTAGAAAGTGGCCAAAGAAAAGGAAATCTACTCTGTTGCAGTCTGCTTTAGGATAACTGCTCCCTTCATTCTAACTTTCATGTTTACTAATGTAAATCTTTTTATTTTGATAGCACATCATGGTTAGGAGACAGGGAACTCGTCACTGGAGGCCTCAATGATTGCTTTCTTTTGTTTTTCGTTTTTCCACAAGAAAGAGCTTGTGAAGGAACCTCTGCTGTCTGGAGATCTTCCCTCGGAAACTGCTGCATGATAAAAAGTTCCTGGCTAAATTTGAGGAGCTCAGGAAGCATCTATAGGAGACATCGTTAAGTGCACTAGCGTAGTATTTGAGATGTAGCTATAGATATATAGCCATAATTACGTGTGGGTTGTAATCCACATAATTATACGAGGATTAGGAAGGCAAACTGGGAGGGAGGGCTGGCTCGCTTCCATCTCTTCTTCCTGTCAAAAGCTAAAGGTTTGCCCCAGCCTCTGGGCGTCTGCACCTTGGGAGTTTCCAGCTGCATTCTCCTCCCGTCGACTTGCTCCAAGCCAAGCCAGACCACCTGAAGGAAGGCAAATTCATGTTCGTGGCAGACCCTCAGACTCAAGCACCTTCTCACAACTCTCCCCATCTCGGCCCCTGAGCTAGCGGGGGCAGCGCAGCAGGTGCGAGGAGAGGCTCAGAAGGGGCGGTGGGGACGACCCCCTTTCGAACTGCCTTTGTAGCTGCCAAGGAGTAGCCAACAAGCGCCAGATTTATGTGCACTTTGAAAGAAGCACCTTCACCATTGGCTTTCGGAGCGGCGCTGTCGCTAGGGAGCAGCGGGCAGGGCGAGCGGAGACTGGGGAGAAGCCCGGGCGGGTGTTCCCGTAACCTGGGAGAGCGGGCACCCACCGTCGGCGCGGACACGCACGCACACGCACGCTCCCCGCGAGTTCGAGCCCCGCGGCCCCGGCCCGCCCGAGGGCGCCCCCTGCGCCGTTCTAGGCAGAGCCGCGCCTCCCGGCTCGCCTCCCGCCCCCTGATTCCCGCCGCTGCTGCCCAGAGAGACAGGAACCTGGAACCTCTGCTCCACGTGCCCCCGCGCGGGCACGGCGGAGAGCCGTGGGGCTCGGGGAGGAGGAGAGCACGATGAATGAGTGCTCCCTTCGCCTCCGAGTTGTCTGAGTTGGCGGCGCCGCGCCCCGGCTTCCGGCTCTCGGCGCCCCACGCGCTCGCGGCTCCAGCGGCTCCAGCCCACGTCCGCGCCGGGAGCCGAGCTCGCCGCGCCGCGCCGCGCCGCGCCGGGGGAGCCCGGGCTCCCGAGCTCCTGTCCCGGCCCCGGTCCAGGGGAAAGCAGGGGTGTCCCCGGGCAGAGGCGCACGGCCGCGCGGTCTCCCGCACTCTCCGCGGCCCATCGGTCTCTCCATGGCCTCTCATCAGCAATCCCGGATCCAGGCTTACCTGGAGAAGAACAAGATCGGTCCCCTGTTTGAGGTAAGGCGCTGCAGGTGCGGGCGGTCCCGTTTGTCTTTGGGGGGTTCAGGACACCCCGGAGGGAAGGAGGGTGACAGAAGAGATGCGCGGGAGGGACGCCCCTGTGGCCCCAGTTCTCTCTCTCTGTCCGGGCCAGGTGTCCTGGAACGCGGCCGCGCGGGCGGTTCTTCGGTTACTTGGGCGCGGACAGGTAAGCTCTGGAGGGACAAACCTTATCCTGGCATGGCAAGTTTGAGGTGTCTGACTGTCTTGCACCTTGCAACCACATGCACGGGGCCCGGACAGGCTGAGACAGACGGATGCACACACTCAGCCTTACACACGCTCACTTTCTTCCTGGAATTCACACTGTCTTGCGCGTTTTTCCCCAAACGTAGGCAGTAGTAGAACCCGTAAAAGGTGGAGGAAGTGCTTAGCAATGGGATGGAATAAGGTTACCTGGGAGAAAACTGAACTGGTAGGAAGTAGGCTTCTGTAGGTGCGGGCGTGTGGAATGAAATTGCCAAGCTGAGGCGCTGACATTGGTCTCTGGAAGAAAGGAGAATCCTTTGCCTTGCGGCCCCCCTACCTGTGTTAGGGGGAGAGAGGGGGCAGAGAAAGGTTCGGGAAAAGCACACGCGTATTTATGGGAAGGAGACAGCTCTGAGCTGTTTTCTCTCGCCATCAAAGAATTGATGACAAAAATACAGTAGGAGAATGGAAAAGTGGGAGAACAGGAGAAAATGAGAACGGGGGACTGAAACCAGGCACCGGCAAAGCGTCCCTCCGGTTGCCAGGGCGCTGGGCAGCTGCAGAGGCCAACGGGGAGGGACGCCCACGGTCCCCTCCTTTCCTGTCCAACCGTCCAGCTGGGCACGGACGCGCTGCGAGAGGACGTGGGAGGGTCGAGATCCCCGCCCCCCCGCCAAAAAAATCCGTTGTGGTCATACTTGGGCGTTTACATGACCGCGGTGTCTTAAGGCTGAAACGAGGCAGGAGGAAAGAGATAGCAGAGGATGGAACACCTTCTCCAGGACTGAAGAGAGGAGAATGATAACTGCAGAGAAAATAAGACTGCGAATTAATGTCCCAGCACAAAAAGGGAGCGGACAAGGGTGTGATCATAACGGGTTTCACATAACCAAGATTTGCAAAATCCCTTGTTTTTCTGACCAACTTTTAAGTTAACCATGTACTGTCTTGGGAGATATGACCATTATCTCAACTGAGAATCACTGTTGTATAGTCATAAAGTCCTACAATATATGTCTTGATTCTTGTTTTTGCGAAAAGTGTTAGCAAAGGAAGTGCAGATACAAAAGCAGAGTAGAATTGCTGGAGCTACTAGAATTCCTTTCTTTGCCTTTAGTGTAAAGATTAGAGATTATACACTGTATTTAAAGGAGAAATATAATAACCCTCTGTGGCACAGTGTGTTAATTGTATCAAAAGAAACATAAAATAAATACATTTAGAGGGTTTCTTCTCTAGAATATAAGTATATTTTCCTAGGGAGAATAAATGAATTGTTTTTAATAGATGCTATTCTCATTTGCTGACTTTTATAATTCCCAAGATTCTCTCCAAGTGACAGTAATAGAGTTTGGAATGTATGTAAACTTTCTATATACATAATTAGGAAATAAATCCAACTTGGTTTTAAATGCTCACTTTTTCAGTTCCACTGCTGAATCTTAAGGGATGGCAGAATTGTTTTGTAAAATCATTAGACCTCCTCACTAAAAAACAAACAAGGACAAAAGTATATGCTTTGTATTTTATTCGTTTTTTTGGTAACATATTACATACATCCCCATTAGCTTGGATTGCAGTGATGAGTAGTTAATTTTTAAGGGTTGATGTGCACTTTAAATAATTAAAGGGAGAAAATGGATAAGTTCTCTTCTACTGAAATCAAGTCCTTATGCAACAGTTTTGATCATGAGAGAGCATCGTTTTGAGAGTAGAATTACATGTACTTTACAAAACTGGAAAGTCTCCTCATACTTGAAAACCAGTGGAACTAGTGTAAAATGGACATATTGATCTATCATTCTCCTCAAAGCTCCCAGGCCTTTGGTTAATAGTTCTCATAAAAATTGCTTCAAGAGATCAGAAGAGGAACCTAGGAACCTGAATTTAGTAAGAAGTAGCACAAATGATGGTCACATATTTAATTCCTGGGCCACATTGTAAGAAACAGTGACATAAGCTGAGATCTCCATTTACCAATTACAAATTGAAATAGGTGGTACCAAGTTTTATTATCTGTGCTTTGTGGTGATTTTTTTTCGTGCTGAGGCACTGGCATTAGTGACATAGCTTTACTTTAGTTTTGAAAATATATAAGACCTGACAATATGTTCCCTTTACAGATTTTGTTAGCTAGGTCTGTTTTAAGAAAACTCACTGAAGTGAGGCACTTTAAAGAGAGCACATGAATGTTATTTAAAACAGTAGCAAAGGGCTTCCCTGGTGGCGCAGTGGTTGAGCGTCCACCTGCCGATGCAGGGGACATGGGTTCGTGCCCCGGTCCAAACAGTAGCAAAGGTAACATATACTGGTATTGAGGATACTTACATCTCATTTTTTTTTTAAACCTGTACAGTTTACTTAGTTTAGTTTATTTCTTACTTAGTTTATTTATTTCTAACATTTTATCACTTGAGAAGCTTATCAAAGTGCTGCACACAATATGGTGTTTCAAAAACTAGAGTGAAATTAATCTTGTTTCCAGATGATTTAGAAGTATACATTTATACTACCTTTAACTATATTTGAAGATATTTTGAGGCATTACAAAACCATGCCTAGAAATCGTTGCATTAGAGTCTTGGGTAATGATATTTTAATTAAATAGTATGAAGCTATAAGGTGAAAATGGCAATAATGACTTAGATTCCACAAACTCTTTGAAATATTTGTAAGATATAATACTTTTAGTGCTCTCATTGGCTTGCTCAGGGCAGGCAAGTAGTTAGCAGTCTGGCATCAATCTATAACGAATGCTTGATGTTGCTACAATAAGTTAGAACTATAATCTTAATATAGATTTCACACATAGCTCCTCACTTAACTGGCAAGATGTGAAATGGTTTGGCTGCCACCAAAGTAGAATATTTTTGCAACATACGTAGGTAAGATACATGGGGCAAACGTAAGACTGATCTCAAAGCCTAGGGCTAGGCACCTAACAGTCAAACAACTTGGTGATCAGAAATTCTGTTGCTTATTAAGATCAAGCCATCTACTTTGTTTATATTGTAAGCAGTTTAACTTAATTCTCAAGAGGTTATATGATGTGAAACGTTGCAATAAATTCATTATTTTTAATACCAAGAAGTATACAATTTTCAGTTTCTCTCATCTTGTTAAATAGGATAATTATTTGAAAATTATGGGTTGGAATGGTGCTCAGGGCAGCCATATGTCTTGGTTCCGGCCTAGTCACACTCACAAGAGTGGGAAATCCTGCACCATATGATATCACTTATATGTGGAATCTAAAAATGGATACAAATGAACTTATTTACAAAACAGAAACAGACCCACAGACATAGAAAACAAATTTATGGTTACCAAAGGGGAAAGGGGGAGAGGGAGGAATAAGTTAGGAGTTTGGGATTAACAGATACACACCACTATATAGAAAATAGATAAACAACAAGTTATACCACAGGGAACTATACTTAATATCTTATAATAACCCATAATGGAAAAGAATCTGAAAAAGATTATATCTTGATAAATATATATGAATCACTTTGCTGTATACCTGAAACTAATACAACATTATAAATCAACTATACTACAATTTTTAAAAAGCAGAATAATGCGGTCTTCATACAATCTCCATGGAATTTTTAAATCTCTGTCTATTGAAGATGTGGCAAACTAAGTTCACTGCATTTTCCCAAATGTGGTCTGACCCACTCCAAGTAGAATGGAATCACTTTACAACCTTCTGTGTTTAGTACCTCTACTCACATAGTCTAAGTTTGTGCTAACTGATTTGGCATATATGTTATGAGGTGGACTCATCAAATGCATGGTCAACCTAGCAACCAGATTTGTGTTCTAAATGATATTCCCCATTAAGTGGAACCAGGTATCCTTGGAGAAATGGTTAATTCAAGGCTTGGCACTGGGAAATACAAGATGAACCTGGAACATCTTATTACGCTAAAAAGTAAGGAAGTGGTCAAAGAATGATAGGAACATGTCCAAAGGACGTAGAAGCCAGCTTGAAGAGGCTCCTATTAACTAAATCTGGGACAATTTAAGAAGCAAAATAAAGAATGATAGTAACATTATCTTACTGTATAAAATAGGAATATTTTATTCCACACATTCATGGGATACATGAATGTGTTCAATTTATGGGGAGAAGAGAAAGCTTTACCTTATCATAAGTACAATGCCAATTAATAAAACTGGAAGGGATGATGGAATTAGAAAATCACTACTTGGCAACCATCTTAGTAATAATTCGGGCAAGAAACATTAATCAATGCTAAAACTAATGGGTGAAAGTTGGATGAGGAATGAGATGTTACATAATCTCTAGTATCTTTCCACAAAATAGATGTTAATTATAAAAGGGAAAAAAGTAACTCTGTAGTGAAGAAACCTGGCAGACGCTACTTTACTCAAGTGTTGTGCCCCTTCTTAGGATGCATTTAAAACAACATGGCATCGCTTCTGTAATATTCCTGCCCATCATGCATGACTTGAATTGAATAATGGGAAAATATCTGATAAGCTTGATGGGGAAATTCTGCTTATCTGGAGTCTTAAAAAATGTTAAGATCATGAAAGTCAAGGGAGGTCTCAGACTGAAGAGACGTGACAAGTAAGTGCAAAATATGTTTCTAGAGTTGATACTTTTGCTATGAAGGACATTTTTGGAAAAGTTGGCGAAACTTGAATGGGGTCTCTAGGTGAAGGGTATATGGAGTCCTTTGTGTTGTTCACATACTTTTTCTGTAAGTTTAAAATTATTTCAAAATTTTAAAAAATAT